AAAGGCAGATATACAGAGAGGAGAGACAGAGAGGAAGATCTTCCGTCCAATGATTTACTCCCCAAGTGAGCGCAACGGTCGATGCTATGCCGATCCGAAGCCAGGAGCCTCTTCCAGGTCTCCCACGCGGGTGCAGGGTCCCAAAACTTTGGGCTGTCCTCAACTGCTTTCCCGGGCCACAGGCAGGGAGCTGGATGGGAAGCGGGGCTGCCGGGATTAGAACCGGCGGCCATATGGGATCCTGGGCGTGCAAAGCGAGGACCTTAACCACTTGCGCCACCGCGCCGGGCCCTCAATAACCTATTTTTAAGTCAGGAGAGTTCTGTGTTGCTTGCTTCACCCATATTTCTTTTTTTTTTTTTTTTTTTTTTTACTTAACTCTCTCAATGATGCCATAAAGAATAAACATTCTCCCTTTTACAGATGTTGAAACTGAGGTTCAGGGCCCGGCATGATAGTGTAGTGCTTAAAGTCCTCACCTTGCCCACACCAAGATCCCATATGGGTGCTGGTTCTAATCCTGGCAGTTCCACTTCCCATCCAGCTCCCTGCTTGTGACCTGGGAAAGCAGTCAAGGATGACCCAAAGCCTTGGAACCCTGCACCTGTGTAGGAGACCTGGAGGAAGTTCCTGGCTCCTGGCTTTGGATCGGCGCAGTACTGGCTGTTGCGGTCATTTGGGGAGTGAATCATCGGATGGAAGATCTTTCTCTCTATCTCTCCTCCTCTCTGTATATCCGCCTTTCCAATAAAAATAAATAAACCTAAAAAAAAAAAAAGAAACAGGTTCAGAGATGAAGTCGCTGCCCATGGAAATGCAGATAATAACTTGGCCTTATTTCAACTAAGCTGTTCACATAATTTGGCTCTGAGTTAGGTTGTACCTTGGATTTTTGCCTAATATAGCCAATGCCTAACTCACATTCTTATCCAAATATGGTGCCTAATCATGCGTCTCTTTTTTATGTATACCTACAGGGTCTCAATCTGGCTGCTTCATTTAAGACAGGATTCCTGATATTCCTGTTGCAGGTCGTAACAGCAATGCACAAAGCAACAGGAAATCAAAATGGGTTAGAAATATAAACAACCTTTGACAGAAAATGCAGCACCCAAAAGCAGACCCAGCACACGTGAACCGGAAGACAATTCTATAAATAAACCACATTGCTGAAATGCTTGGGGCCTAATTTTATTCGCACAGAAGTCAGGAAATTTCAAAGCAGAAATTCAATGAAAGCAACCCCTTGGATCCTTTGCCTTGAGGACAAGTGCGTGTCAACATCCACTCAGCACAGATGAAGCAGTGAAGTTAAGAAACTTGCTATGAGAGCCCAGGTACTATCCCAGAAAATTAGTGTACACGCAGAGGCATGGCGCTGGACGGTGAGTGGACACAGAGGCAGCATAGATGGAATAAAACTGGAATTTCAGTTTCCCCACTTAGCAGCTGTGTGAACTTACACTATTCATTCAGCTTCTCTGAGCCAATTTCCACCACTATCATCAGCAGGCTCCTGTTAATGAAGTTTTTGTATGTTTTGTTTATTATTACTATTATTATTTCATTTTATGACACAGTTCCATAGGCTCTGGGATTCCCCCAGCCACTCCCCCCATATTGAATTCCTCCATATTGTCACAGTAGTACAGTTCATAACCAGTCATAATTCCTCCTTTGCGGACACAGACCATGCTGAGAGTCCAGCATCTTATTGTCCAGACACATTCAGCAGTTTCATTGGGAGACCATCCTTGGTCTGGAAGTAGAGCTGCCAGAATATCATCCCCTCCAATGAAAAGCCACTACACAAATTTGAAAGAGATAATAATAGCTAATATTTATGTAGTGATTATGTGACAAGATGATTTTAAGTGCTTTAAATGCATAACAGCCCAACCTGAAGGTAAACCTGAGCTAATAATACGATTAACCCCATTTTATAGAAGAGGAAAAGGTGAATGGACAGCTGTCAAAGATCTGCACTGAGGCCCGCAAGCCCCAGGGTCTAGGCTCCTGACCACTCCACTACCCTGAATCCAACGTGTACATCAAACACTCCAGATGAACGTCTGGCATCTAGCCCAACAAGAGTAGCTAACCTGTCAAGCTGTTGGAATATTTGTAAAACTACTTGCAGCACACTTCTTCCAAAACTGCCTCAAAACGTGAATTTCCCTATTCTTCACAGAAAGCATATTCTGACTAATGCTTTATTTTATTTGAAAGGCAGAGTGAGTGGAAGAGAGAGAGAGAGCTCTTCTTTCTGCCAGTTCACTCCCCGAGAGACCCACAACAACCAGGACAGGGTAGGGCCAAAGCCATGCGCCTGGAACTTCTGGGTCTGCCGAGTGAGTGGCAGAGGACCAGCTACTTGAGCCTCCCGGCATCTGTGTCAGCAGGAAGCTGGGATCGGGAGCAGAACTGACACTCAAACCAAGGCTCTCTCTCAAGGGCTGTACCAAACACCGGCCCCACAGGTGTGCTCTTTCTCATTTTGGTATAAAGTGAACCCATTTCACATCACAGACCTAGGAGCATGGTGGCACTTCCCACTCCAACTGCCCTCCTATCCGCAGTCCCCATTCCAACTGCCCTCCTGTCCGCAGTCCCCATTCACCCCCTCCAGCGCATTTTGTTTTTGGAAAGCACTAAATGATAAACTCCACGTCCCAGCTTGACCCCTGTTCTGATAACCCATACTGATTCAGCTGAATATTATAGTATCTACATCTTAACAAATAGGGATGTGCATGCGTGCAGATTCCTGTGTATAAAATATTTGTATTTTGATTTTCACATTAACCCCAGGGTCATGGTTATCACTCACATGTCACAAAGCACTGATTTCTCCCACTTCCTCAGTGCTCCTCCTGCTCTAAGGTATTCAAGCACCCCCGACTCACGGCGCAATTCTTGGGGTGAGCCTCTCACCTCCACTTACTCCTCACGTTCCTTCCAGATGTCAGCTTAACCCTCACTGTATCTCAGGATGTCTTCCCTGGCTGCCTCCATCAGCCCAAGCAGAACATCAAATAGGTGTTCTACAGATAACTTGATTTTCAAAAAAAAGATTTATTCATTTACCTTTATAAGGCAGATTTACAGAGAAAGAAGGAAAGGCTGAGAGAGAGATTTTCTATCCATTGGTTCACTTCCCAAAAGGCCACAATGGCTGGAGTTAAGCCGATCCAAAGTCAGGAACCGGGAGCTTCTTCCAGGCCTCCCGTGTGGGTGTGTAGGGGGCCAAGCACTTGGGCAATCTTCCAGGGCTTCCCCTGGTGCATTGGGAGGGAGCTGGACAGGAAGTGGAGCAACTAGGACTCAAGCCAGAGGCACAGGTGGGAGGCTTAACCTCCTGCATGCCAGCCTCATACAGACACAGCCTATATTTTACTATCACATTTAAACTTTATTAACATAACATTTGTGTAATGATCTGATTATTATCAAATTCCCTCCATATGACTATAAATACTTCAATGCCTAATTCATAACTGTTTCATTCATTGCTATATTCCCACTGTATACCACTGAGCATGAATGCAGAAAGAAACAGCATCAATGTGAGGTATTCATGAAGAAAGGCATAGAAAGTCCTTGCCCGGGATCACAGTGCTGGCACTAGAATGCTGGCACTAGAATCAGCCCCTGCATCTCCGACCGCAGGTGTCAGGTTCCATTCCCACCTTCGCCTGCATTAACTTTCAGTTTGCCAGATTGCTCTCAAGAATTCGGCAAGGCACATTTTTCTCTAAATGTGGTGGCATGTATTTAAAAAAAGAAGCTGTAGTATCAGACAATACACCAGAAACATGATGTCCCTGTCTCAAAGCGAGGAGGAGATGTTTTTACAAGCAGAAGTTGTAAAGAACGAACAGGGGGAATGCCAACACTCCCTGCCATGTGCCCCCCTATTCAAAAGGCACCTGTGGCAGTCATCCACTGACGTGTCACTGTGCCCACCCATTTTGCCCACCTACGTTTTGTTTCTTCAACCATGAAAACAACCAGATTTTCATCCTTCAACAGCTCTTCAAGATCCTGGGAGCCGGCCTGGTGGCGTGGCCTAGCGGCTCAAGTGTGTGCCTTGCATGCACCAGGATCCGATATGGGCACCAGTTCTAATTCCAGTTGCCCCACTTCCCATCCAGCTCCCTGCTTGTGGTCTGGGAAAGCAGTCGAGGACAGCCCAAAGCCTGGGGACTCTGTACAGGCATGGGAGACCCAGAAGAAGCTCCTGGCTCCTGGCTTCAGATTGGCGTAGCTCTGGCCATTGTGGCCACTTGGAGAGTGAATCAACAGATGGAAGATCTTCCTCTGTCTCTCCCCCTCTCTGTATATCTGACTTTGCAATTAAAAAGAAAAAATAGATTCTGGGAGTGGCCACACTGGAGTAGCAAAGAGTCCTGGCTCCAGGATTTGCTACATAGTGACAGGTGTCCAAAATTCAGACCCTCCACGTGACCTGTCTAACCCACATGGCAATATGGTGGGTCAGGATGATGCACTGAGAAGGTGGCTAAGAGCTGTTTTGCCTCCACACAGTATTAGCAGCGGTTAAAGGTTCAGGATTCGGGGTAAGACAAACCGGGGTGTAGATTCGGCTGCCCTCGTGGGAAAGGTTATCTTTTTAACCCCTGACCCTCCCTTTCTTCATCAAGAGGGAAAAATAACCCCTGCTCCGTGGAATTTTTCCAAAAATTAGGCGTTCTTGCTTGTGGAGTGCTATTTAACACAGGCTCCTACTGCAACCTCCCCGAGATCCCTAGCTGATGAAGACTCGCCCTGATGCGACAGCCCCTACCCCCCATGCCTTAAAAGTCCAGGCCGGCTCCAATAGGTCTGGGGAAGAATTCCGGGTTTGAGGCATGGGCACCCGCGGAGGAACCATGGAGGCCACTCACCAGTGACTGCCCCGGTTACTGGGACTGCTGCGACGGAGGCGGCGGTGGCGCGGGCGTCGTGACGTCACGGGGCGGGTCAGCGGCGCAGGCGTAGCGCGTCACCGGCGGCCTGGCAGCGGGCGGCGTTGGAGGCTTACGCGTCTGGACGTGGAGGAGTCGCGGAATCGGGGCCTGCTGTCCGGGCATGAGCTGAGGGCACCTCGCCGAGGCCACGAGGTGAGTGCGGCCGCTCCGTGTGCTTGCCCCTGGGCGCCGGCCGCGCGAGGAGGCCTTGGAAGAGGCACCCTCCGCCTGACGGCTCCGCAGGCCCCGCCCCGGATTGTCCCGCCGCCGGCCCGGAAATAACAATCCGAGTTCTGACCCACTCACCTCTGGGCTGCCGGGATTGCGGGCCCGACCCCGAAGTTAGGTTTTAGGAACGAGCCCTTTGGCTACCGGGGACTGTGGTTTCTCCGAGCGCCCTTTCCTCAGCTCCCAGTGTAGACGGGAAGTCAGGCGAAGGGCGCGCCGCCATTGCACACGAGTCCCTTGCGGTCCCAAGCGTCACTTGAGCCGGTGCTGGGGACAGAACCACCAGGATCGAGGCCAGTAAGGCCCCTTCCTCCAGGTCCTTTCCAGTCTAGTGAAGGACAGAGGGTGATTTCTGTGATGACAGGAGGCGAGACAGGCTTTGCAACTGGCTGAAATCGCCCATTACTTAGCGGCAAAAGCCAGATTTTTAAAAAAGAGCCCGGTGCCATAGCTCAGTGTCTAAATCCTCACCTTGGAAGCGCCGGGGTCCCAGATGAGCGCCAGTTCGTGTCCCGGCTGCTCCACTTCCCATCCAGCTCCCTGCCTGTGGTCTGGGAAAGCAATAGAGGACGGCCCAAAGCCTTGGGACCCTGCACTTGCATGGGAGACCCGGAAGAGGCTCCTGGCTCCTGGCTTCAGATCAGCTCAGCTCATCTGGGGAGTAGAGTGATCTTTGTCTCCTCTGTATATCTACCTTCCCAGTAAAGATAAGTGAATGGGGGGGGCGGAAATAAGAAACCAGAAATTCTTGTTGTTCAAGTCTCCATTCACATGTTGACAACTTTGGAGACAGTCTCCCTCTCTGCTCAGCCTAAAACATCCCTGTCACCGTGTCAGGTCACCCTGCCTGTCGGTATATCCATCACTGACAATATTTTGTTTTGTTCCTTTCATTTTTGTTTTGTGTTGCTCGTTTTGCAAATGCAGGCATCCCCAGGGCAGCAATCTTACTTGTTCACTGATCCGACCCGGGAACTAGACAATGCCTCAAACAGGGAAATGCATGTTTTTTGTTTGTTTTCAGCAAGTGATCGGTAAGATAGTAAGGGGGAGAGGAAGCAGCAAAAAAGACAAACTGTTTTCTTGTTTCCAGCGCTGAGATTCCTTGCTTTGCCTTCTCCCTAGAGAGATGAGCGAGAGCTGTGGCTTCCCCATTCCTCTTTTCAGTTCAGGATTGAACACTTCATAGGTGTGTGCCACACATTGCTGAACAGATTGAAGAGGGAGTGAAAGGAGAACCTGTGCTGTGCAAAAGTATCCTTGCACAATTCCACAGGGACTGCTCTGTCTTTATAGTGCTGAAATGAGGAAGCAGTACTGCAAGTGTCGGGGTGTTATGAGGACACAGTTCCCGCAGTACTGCCTTGCGGGACACTTCTAGGTACATGGGACACGTTTTCCATAACAAGGAGTTCGGAAGTCTGGCAGTCTGTCAGCTTCCCTGGCCCTTTTTTTCTTCTCTACATGTATCTTGGTTTTGGTCCCCTCAGCAAGCTTAAGTTGCAGACACTGCAGATTCTCTCGTCCTTATGTGATTGCTTTGACAGACAGACCTCTCCCATCACTCAGAGGGTGACAACAGCCAGGACTAGACCAGGTTGAACCCAGGAACAGGGAGCTTAACCCGAGTCTCCTCCAGGGGTGGGAGAGACACAGCTGCTCAAGCAACACCTGCTGCCCTGTGGGCTCTGCACTGGTAGGAAAATGGGCTTGAGAACAGAGCCAAGACTGAAGCCCTGGCTCTGATGTGGAATGGAGTGGCCCCAGGTGTCTTGAGGGTTCATCTAAGCTAAACGCCCTCCCTAGACTGTTTGAAACTGAAGCTCAGAGAAAGTGATGTCTCATGGGTTGGTTCCAGTCCTGGCCGTGGTTCCCAGCTCCAGCTTCCCACCTGCACAGTCCCTAGGAGGCAGCAGTGCAGCTCAAACGGTTGCATTCATCTGGCCCCAGCCTGTCCCCAGCCCGTCCCCAGCCATTGCTGGTATTTGGGATGTGAACCAGAGCATGGGAGCTTGTGTGTGTGTGTACTTTCATTCTCCTAACCCATGCCTTAAATAAATAAAATTCTTAAAGGTGAAATATATTGTTTTGATGCAAAGAAAATTTTTGGTAAACCAATGCTTTCCATAATATGTGAAATATGTTTGTACAGAAACAGTATGCATGGATTTCAGAATTTTTTTGCACCAAGGTTAAATCATTCTTTTAATTGCATTTCCCATAAAGACTTTTCTTTTTGGTAATGATTCTATATATCTGAAACAGAGTGACAAAGAGAAAACTCTGTGTACAATAGTAAGAGCTAGGCTCAGACCAAAGCCAGGAGCCAGGAACTGCGTGCAGGGGGTAGAGACTCAGGTACTGGAGCCAACATCTGCTACTTTTCCAGCATGTTAGCAGGACTAACATGTAAGCAAAGTACCTGGGACTCAGACTGGCACTCTGATTTGGGGTGTGGGCGTTTTGACCCACCGCACCTCAGCTCCCACCCCTTTCCATTAAGTTTTTTTTTTTTAATGTTTATGAATTTCAAAGGCAGAATTACGGGGGGATGAGATCTGCTGGTTAACTCTCAGTGTCTGGGGCTGGGCCAGGCTAAATCCAGAAGGCATGGGCTTCTTCCAGATTTTTCACATGGAGTACTTGAGTCATCTTCCACTGATTTTGGACTGGAAGTGGAAAAGCTAGGACTTGGGACTTGAACAAGTGCTGACATTGGATGCCAGCATTATAGGTAGCAGTTTAACCTAGTATGTCGACGCTGGCCTTCCATTCACTTTCTGAAGTACCCTATGTAAGAGGAAACAATTCTGGAAAGTTCAGGAAACTCACCAAATCACAATTTGCTTCTAAGTCCAGGTCTCACTGTAAAACCCACACACAGATGTTCCAAAGAGTCTCTGATGAGAAAAAGCCGCGCAGAGCTGCTCTTTCCTCACCATCCCTTCAGGGGTGCTGCTAAGACTTCCCTGTGGCTTCTTTTTTTTTTTCCCTAAAGGTTGATTTATTTTTATTGGAAAGGCAGATTTTCAATGTAGAAGGAGAAAGAGATCTTCCATTGGTTCACTCACCAAGTGATTGCAGTAGCCAGAGCTGAGCTAATCCAGAGCCAGGAGCCTCCTCAGGGTCTCCTTTACAGGTGCAGGGTTCCAAGGCCTTGGGGCCATCCTCTGCTTTCCCAGGCTACAAGCAGGGAGCTGCATGGAAAGTGGAGCAGCCAGGACGCAAGTAGGCGTCCATGTGGGATTCTGGTGCTTATAAGATGAGGATTTAGCCACTGAGGCATCGCACCAGGCCCCTGTGGCTTCTGAGGAGTGTGTGGGTCCGCTGTTGAACTGGAATGTGGTGTAGCAGATAGTCTGGCCTCCTGCGCAGTGAGCCTCCAGCTTGAGGAGCACTGCCATTCTTCACGCGCTCGCCCCCTGCCCCTCAGTGTCAGCTCTGCTCTAGCTCTCGCAGGAGCCATCCCCACAGAACCTGGTTGCAGGGTGACTAAATGAGCATGCCCTTCTTGAATAAATGCTGAGTTGGATTTGAAGGCTCGCATTTACACTGTGACCTCTCCTGCCTGAAGTTTCACATTTCCTCTGTGTTTCAGAGATTTGATGGAAGCAGAAACTAAATCTCTTCCCCTGGAGAACGCATCCATCCTCTCGGAGGGCTCGCTGCAGGAAGGCCACCGGTTATGGATTGGCAACCTGGACCCCAAGATCACAGAGTAAGTTTAAGTCACCCTAAGCCATTACTTACCAAAATGGGCTTTTTGCTGTGATGGTATTATGGAAAATTTTCAAGGGGTAAAAGATAACATTTTGGCCTGCTTACTCAGCTTGGTATAATCTTGTAACTTTTCTTACCCTTGGCCTCTGCTCCTGCCTGGAAGGACATAGGCTTGGGGACCTTTACACCATGTACACCGTTTTTCCCGCTTGCCAAGTGTGTTCTCCTGTCCCCAGCTATTTGAATCCTTACGCTATTTGCCATAGAGAATTTTTTTCTTAGAATCAGTCCTGGAGTGCCTTTGTCCTCTCACGTGAAGGAACAAGCTGTTTGCTTTTGTGTGCAGGCTGAGGGGGATTGCTTGAGTATCATTCATGGTCAGGAGCCACAGAATCGTGGAAGGTCGGAGTCTGGAGGGACCTGGGAGATCATCCCATCTAAATGATGTGAGTGCCTGCGGCATGCCAGGTGCAGTTTTCAGACCTTTCTCCGTTGGCAGAGCTCTGTCTTAAGGCAGAAGTAATCGCAAGCTGTATGTAAGGTGAAAGGTCAGAGTTGCTCGGATTCAGGGGGAGAAGAGGTCCCCAAATGCTCTGTTGTCACCCTTTCTCACCCCTGATGAGGTTCTTGTGTGGAACACACCTCAAAACCCCAGCTAGCACCCTGAGGCAGAAGTGCCTGCCCAGGACCACAGAGCTGAGTTGTCCGGACTGCTCGCTCGTTCGGTCACAGCTCTCGTAGTGGAGAGAAAGGAGAGGTTTTTCCTTCTCTGGTTGCTTGGTGGTGGGACGTGGCGCTTGATGGCAGAGCTGTAAAGGGTGATTGTCCTGCGTGGGGTCAGTGTGGAAAGCTAGCGTGAGGCATGTTGTCCATCCCAGAAGTTACTCCCTTGGAAATGGGCTTGAAAGCAAGGAGTGTAGACTGACAGGAGGGATATTTGAGGATTGGATTCAAAGGAGAGGAAAAGATGTACAATAACAGGTCCAGGATCATGACGCGTTTAGTTTATTAAACCTGCTCAAGCCCAAATCCGCCAAAATATCCCTTTAGAAATTATAATGGTATTTAAAGTGTGTTGCCTAGGTGTTTTGTTACTTTGGTCACAGGGGTACTGGACTATGGATGGTATTTAGTTTATTCCTTTTTTCTGGCTTATGGCTTTGAGGGTGCATGTGGGAATCTGCCCAGCCTCTCAATGCGTGTTCATGGAAGAAACTTTTTCCATCATCTAAAACCCAGCTATGAGGGGATTCTCCTGAATGGTTTCCATTCTCACCTTTGCTTGTCTGAATGGAAATCTAAAGTGTGGAAATAACGTCGGTTGTGTTGGCTGCCGGTCTCTATAATGAGGCTCTCATTGTGTTCTGCTGCTTGACGGGAAGCTTCCCGTGGGCACGTGCCACTTCAGGGTGTAGGGGAGCATTTTCCCCAGGAACACGGGGTCAGAACTTTCCCACTCATGTCTCTGTTTCTTACATGAGGCCAGAGAAGCGCGTTCAGTGGTAAAGCATAGATCAAGACCTTGCTGACGGCAGTGCTGTGTTCTAGCTGTGGCTTCCCACTTCTCTGCCACCAAGACTATTTTCCCTTCTTCTGTTAATTCCCTAAGCAAGTGGATGTCAAACAAGCTGCCTTATTAAGGAATAATACATTTCCTTTTAAAGACATAACTACCAGTCGTAGCTTCAGGTTAGTGTGAAATTAGTATTACCTCTTCTAATTTACCTACTGACAACAGAAAAACCTAACATTTTAGTAAGATAAGTCTAATCTAGTGGAAATAATGTGATTTCCTTCCAAGTTTTTGAAGCACTTAAACTTTTGTTACTTGAAATAGAAAAATGATGCTCCCAGATGAATTATTAGAATAGATATTCCCAAACGTTAAAGTATCGTGTGATGTAATCTGTGTAAACATGTGATACCTCATGTAGCCCAATCAGAAAATGCTGTTGAATCCGAAGCTCTAAGCTTCTAATAATTCTGGACAGAATTCGCAGTGCATCCTCTAGTTTGCCCAATTCGGCTTTCCCCTAGCCACAGACTGCTGCCAGTTCCTGCTTTTTTCCCTTAGCACCTTCAGCAGTCCCTTCTTTCTTTTTTTTAAGATTGATTTATTTTTCTCATAAAGGCAGATTTACAGAGAGAAGGAAAGACAGAAAGATCTTCCCTCCACTGGTTCACTCCCCAAACATAAACCAGTGATCATGTGGGATCCCGGCATTTGTAAAGTGAGAATTTAGCCAGGAGGCTGTCGAGCCAGGCCCTCTCTCTCTTCTATATAGCCATACTCTCTGCCACTCCTTTTCCTGATTTTTTTTTAATATTTATTTATTTGGCCCCAGCAGGATAGCTCAATGTCTGAATCCTCACCTTTCAGGCACCAGATTTGTGCCATTCTGGGAATGAAGCAGTGGGTGGAAGATCTTTGTCTCCTTCTCTCCATAAATCTGATCTGCCTTCCCAATAGCGCAAATCAATCTTTTTTTAAAAGACCTTCCATCTGCTGGTTCACTCTTCAAAGTGGCCACAGCTGCCAGAACTGAGCCTATCTGAAGCCAGGAGTCTCCTCTGGGTCTCCCACGTGGGTGCAGGGTTCCAAGAACTTGGGCCGTCCTCTACTGCTTTCCCAGCCACAGGCAGGGAACTGGATGGGAAGTGAAGCAGCCAGGACATGAACTGGTGTCCCTGTGAGATGCCAGCACTTGAAGGTGGAAGATTAGCCTGTTGTGAGCCACAGCATCGCCTGGTTTTTTGTTTGTTTTGTTTGTAGACTGTTTAATTGCCCTTCCTAGTCAAATATTCCCTCACTTAGAAAACAAATTACACCATGTACTTACTATCACAAGTAATTATGGGAACAATAAAACTTGGGCCATATATTTAAAAAAAAAAAACAAATTCCATTTCTCTACATGCTTTTTCACGTTTATTTTGTGATTGGTTCTAGACATTTTTTGTATTCCTGGATTAATCCTAATCCGTGTTATACCATGTTATACAAGGATGTCCAGCCAGCCACCTCTATAGAATATGTACTTGTAGCTGGATCTCTAGGACTCTAATATTAAATGTGCTATGAGGAAAGCCAAAGTAATAACCAGTGCATATGAAATGTAGGAAAAACCAAAGTCAGAAGCTTTTATAGAAGGAGCATTCTAAGTGGGGGGAGATCATAAATAATGAGATATAAGTAGAAGAAAGAAAGATTGAGGCACTTTGGTTTAAAATGAGGTTGAATGCCAAATAGTAATAAAAGCTGTACTGGATGGATAGAATACTATTAGGTTAAGCCTGACTCTTTAAAATATATTCAGACGTTTGAATTTCATGTTGACTAGACTCACTGTAAGTGTTTAACAGTGAGATTGACATCCTGAAATTCATGATTTAGAAGGGAAACTAGACATCAGTATAGATGAATGGTACCTAAGTGAGGGTGCCCTGCCGTCAGTACCATCTCATCAGAGACAGTGAACTTAGAGAGCAATGAGTAATACAAACGATGAAAACAGGCTGGTGGGGAGTGGGTAGTTGAGATGATGCTGTAAGCTCCTGCCTGAAGAATACAAAGGACTCCAATTCCCACTGGCCAGAGGGATGTCTGGGCTGGGCCATCCATCTTCCTGGAAGAGGGGGGTCATTTTGGGTATGTTAAGTAAACTTAAAAGCATTGGTGAACCAGCTAGGTGGAAATGTCCTTCTGATACAGACTGTCAGGGACAAGCTAGAAAAACCAGCATGCAAGAGAAAATAAACCAGTGACCATATGAGAACAGTATGTTTACCCTCCAAGAAAACCCTTTCTGACTCAACCCACTCTATTTTCCTTCACTGTCCACAATTTTCATCATATCTTGGTTTGTATGAAAATGTCTTTACTATTTGCTTAGTTAAATTTGAAACACAGGGGCTGGTGCCATGTATATAGTGGGTGGATGGATGATAGATAGATAGATAGATAGATAGATAGATAGATAGATAGATAGATAGATAGATAGAATATATATATATATATATATACACACACACACTGCACCTGAGCCACTAGCATCCTATAGGGGCACCTGTTTGAGTCCCAACTGCTCCACTTCCCTTCCAGCTCCCTACTTATGCTTTGGGAAAGCAGCAGAGGATGACCCAAGTCCTTAGGCTCCTGCACCCATGTGGGAGACCCAGAAGACTCCTGGTTCCTAGCTTCAGATTGGCTCAGCTCTAGCATTGTGGATATTTGGGGGTGAACCGGCAGATGGAAGATCTTTCTGTCTCTTCTCTAACTCTTTCAAATAAAAATAAAATAAAGATTTGAAACACAGTGAAATCATTTAATAAGGACCGTAGCATAGGACATAAAACACTTGCCTTATAATAATATCTACAATTACAAAGGAAATTTTCTCTAAAATCAACTGTGTGCTAAAAATGCTATCAGGTGTCACTTCATTGGCTTCCCATTGCCTGCGACATATCCACAGTCTGTCTCCTGCATGCTGCTCCACCTCATCCTACCTTGCAATGGAGCATACTCTTCTACCTTCATGTCATGGTGTGTGACACTCACTCAGACCCACGTGCCTTTCATGAAAAATACCCTGCCCAGTTGTTCCTCCTTCATCTGACTGCTCACATACATAGTTTTGTGTGCAAGGGTCATTGCATTTTATAGTAGAGGTCTTGTCTCTCCCCTCTGACCAGAAGATCTGACAGCAGGAACCGATGCATACTCATCTGGATGGTCCGGGGTGTCTCCCAGGTCTTAGTGATAGTAGGTGTCTATTTTACATTGCATAGTTACTCCTGCGTCATTAGGCAGAAAGACTGTCTTAAAGACCCTGCACCAAAAGCACTGGTTATGATGTGAAAACGTGCGTGGGGCTGCTGCCCTCATTCTCCAGCCCTGGAGGCTGCAGGGCGCACACTAAGTGAAGCAAGCCTCTGATGGAGTGACGTGCTCTCCCGCACTTGAGCAGCAGATGAAAGTGCTTGCACATGGGAAGGCGGATCCTTCAGGCTTTTTTCACTATCAGAGTTTGCAGTCCCCATCTCCAGGAAGCAAAATAGTAAACATTTCATTCCTTTTGTTTCAGTGTTCCGATAATTTTACAAAATTATCAAACAAGAAAAGAAATCCTGGAGAAGTTGAAAGACACAGACCTAAGCAGATGTTCCTGGAATCCTAAGGTCGCATTGAGGCAGAATGTGTTTGTTAGCTTTACAAAGAATAATCTGACAGGGTTTTTTTTTTTTTCTGAGTAAATTAAACTTCATTTCTTAAGAAATGCCAGTCATGTTACCTTCCTGCTATTAAGCAGAATGAAGCTAATGAAAAGATGACCAGCCCACAGCAGCCCTTAGATTGTTTCATGTTTTTAAAAAATGGCTTTGACCTACCATTCTGTGGCAACTAGTGTGATTTTACTTTGAATGATTCAAGTCAGTGGAAGATGTAGCTGTGAATTCAAGACTCTAGGGGAGACACTCTAGGCCATCTGTCTGTGTGTCTGATAAAATGCTCTTGCTCTATGCTTGTTCGGAAAATGAAGTAAGACCACAATTTGGTATTTGAGCTATCTGCCTTTCCCCGGAAGAGTCAGCTTCTATATTCCACCCCAGCTGTTGAGGTCTCCTGGGGGGAGCTGGGAATTTAGAAAGTAAGGAGATCGCAGTTTTCCTTTCCATGACAGGTCGGAAGGCCGGAGAAGTACCCAGGGTATGGCTTGGACGTCTGTGTCCTTCCCATTACTAGATCTGCAGTATGTCTTCTCTCCAGTGTCAGAGGCTCAGGCCAGAAGAGTGCACTTGCTTTTTGGTGTGCATTAGTTTCAAGTTTAGAATACCTTATCCATTCCATATCTTGCTGTGTCCCAAAGGAGATTCTTACTCAAGAATGAAGTGCTGATGGGTTTCTCCCTGAAAACAATGTGAATATAAATGTGTCCATAACGACAACTTTACTGACTCCCTGTGGGGTAGAATTCCCAGTAATAACAGATTTAGCATGTGGGCTGATACCTTTTTAGTATCACAGGGACAGCATTGTTTAGAGAAAGCCTTGACTCCATTTGAATAGCTCGGAGAATGCCAGGAGGAAGGCCAAAGGAAAAGGAAACGGGAGAGCTGTTGGTTTGTCTCACCCTTACATCAGATGACAGGAAGTCGAAATTGAGATTGGCCACAGCAACCTGTTAAGGCCACATCTGTTTGAATAATGTGAAAGCGCTATAGAAACCAAGTTTCAGAGTAAGGAATCCAAGAAGAGGATGAGGGGAAGAGCGGCAAGCAATAGCCTGGACTGACATCCCTGCCAAAAATTAATCTCTTCTTGACCACCTGAAGTCTTTACTGGACCACACTCCAGAGTCTAAGCTGTGTTAAGGCCACTGAAGCTGGTTGATTACCCACGGCTGGATGATTTATGGGACTGGCCAGTTTCTCTAGCACTGTGAGAGAGCAGCCTCCGTCGCACTGAGGTTCCAGCATTGTCCTAATGCTCAGGCACCTCAGGGATTGAGAGTCCTATGCTCTTACGGAAGGACCACTAGCTATGGTTTGGGTTTTTTTGGCAGAGTTTTGTAAAAATACAATTTGGATCTAATGATTAACTGTGAAATCTAATAGGGAAATCTTCTAGAACTGTTATTTGTGAATGTATATGTTTGTTACTTTATTTTTAAGTGGGGAAAGCTTTGGTTTTTTTTTTTTAGCATGGATGTATTTTTTGATGGGATATATATTTTATGGAATTAAAGTTATTCACAAGTGCTATGTCATTGCCAAGGAATTAAAAATAAATAAATAAACTCTTTTTGAGCTTTTCTCCAAAAAAAGAAATAAATGGTGCTTGTGGACCAGACAGCTGTTTGTTAGGTGTGGGGTTTGTTTTGTTTTGTTTTTGGCATTTTTGTGTTGGACAGACACATAGCCATGACAATTCTAGCTTTCTTTCCAAATAGAGGCAAATAGCTGTTTTCCAAACAAATTGTTTGAAGGAAGTCAGGGGGCAGGAGCAAGAGATTTTTATCCAGAGGTGAATTATCTCCGCTTTTTTTTTATCTCACACTTCAGGCTGAATGTCCAACAAAATTGCCAGAGGATACTCACGGGTTCTTCTTGCCCTACAGATACCACCTCCTCAAGCTCCTCCAGAAGTTTGGCAAAGTGAAGCAGTTTGACTTCCTCTTCCACAAGTCAGGTGCCCTGGAGGGACAGCCTCGAGGATACTGTTTTGTTAACTTTGAAACTAAACAGGTAATTGAGCTGCATGTTCTTTCACAGTACTTACCAAAGTCTGTCATAATTATTTGTACATCTCCCTTGACTGCCAGAACAGTTCCTTGAAGGCAGAGCTGTGTTTGATGCATCTCCATGTGCCTTGCACTGAGTCCTGAAAGACATACTCAGTAAACAGATGAATTAGTGAACAGCTTCCAGAATCCACCCTCCTGAGGTTCAGGGTCTAAGGCAACTGATTCAGTTTTCTGACCCAGTGGTTTGGGATGCCCACGGTAAGCCCATGGGCACCCCCCCTTCCCCACCCCCCCACCTCTCCCTTTCCCCCATTCTATTTTGTTTGTCTCTTTAGTGGCTGGCCAACAAAGCCTCCTTTTCTTTGAGTACTTTTGCCCTGTGGTACAGAAATCCTGTCTGTGGTAAGCCACCCACAAACTCTCTTTTATTTTGGTTTCTTAAAAAATGCACCCATCCTCTCAGTGTCTCAGAACAAATGCATACAAATGTTAATACATGTAGAGGAGAATGTTCCACTTCAACCAGGGTGTATACATTTATCTTCTTAAAAATTTAGTTCTTGGAATAGAAATGCATTGATAAATCAAATTTAATAAACACTAAATTACTAAATAGAAAGCTGGTGCTTAGTACTCTTTATGGCTTTGTCGTGTGTATGGATATTTCTTACTGTTTTGTTAATAATTGATCTGGATGATTTTTACATTATCAAGTTAGTATGAGCTTATTGTAATTGATGAAAATATGGATAACCACTTAGCTCAATACTCAGTCTCCTTGCAGTCGCACACGTGAATATCAGGGTAACAGTCTGTAACATGACATTATATGTAGCACAGACTCCAGTTAAAAGCTAATCAACACCATTTTGATGATGGCGTGGTATTTCATTATATGAAGATATGACAAGTTATTTGCCTGATCTCCAGTTGTCAGCTGTTTAAGTGGTCCTCAGGGAATCCCTTGTAAATGTCACGTAGTGCTCGCCTTATGGTTTTAACTATATGTTTTCTGCATTTGTGGAAATGGAATGGCATCATCAAAGGCCATGTGTATTTTTTCTCAATATAAACTCCAAATTGCCCTAAGAAATGATAAGTGTGTTTATAAATATTCTAAAACTGCATAAGAGTGTCATTTATCTTTACCTTGTTTTTATTTTCTCTAATGCTTATAAATATGATAGGCAATAAGTCATTAGTTGTTATATTGTCCAAGATTTCTTGAGAGAGGGCCTGGCGTGGTGGCCTAGTGGCTAAATTTCTCGCCTTAAACGTACCAGGATCCCATTTGGGCACCAGTTCTAACCCTGGCAACTCCACTTCCCATTTAGCTCCCTGTTTGTGGCCTGGGAAAGCAGTCAAGGACTGCCCAAAGCCTTGGGACCCTGCATTCTCATGGGAGACCTGGAAGAGGCTCCTGGCTCCTGGCTTCGGATTGTCACAGCACTGGCCGTTACAGTCACTTGGGGAGTGAATCATCCTCTCTATATATCTGAGTTTTCTTTGTAATGAAAATAAAATAAATCTATTAAAAAATTTTTTTTCTTGGGAAAACTAAAAATGCCCTGTATGGTTGACATTTCTAAGTACGTTTTTCTTCCTTGGTGCTAAATGAATATTTATAGGAACAACTAAAATCAGTGGTCATGTGGATTTAGATGTTACCTTTAAAAGACTGGGCTAAGGGCCGACATTTGCTGCAGTGCAGTTAGCTGATGCTTGCAGTTTGGCATCCTGTGTCAGAGTACTGGCTCATGGAGTTCTGGCTACTCATTCTGGCTCCCCGCTGGTGTGCCTGGGAAAGCAACAACGAACGACCCTGGTGCTCGGGCACCTACCACCCATGTTGGAGACCCACACACATCTCCAGGCTGCTGACTTCGGCCTTGCCCAGCCCCCGCTGCTGAAGACACTTGGGAAGTGGATCAGTGGTTGCAAGGGCATGCTCACGCTCACTCTCACTATGCCTTTCAAATAACTAAAATCTTTAAAATATAAAAAGACTGGATTAGAAATCATAGAACTTAGCTTTCGTTAACTTTATGTAAGTTTCTTAACCTCTTCTGGCCTCAATTTGCATCTAAAATTTGAAACTAAAAATACATACTTTTGAGCTTTGTGCTAAAGCAAAATTAGTAGCTAAATCCTCACCTTGCAAGCACCAGAATCCCACATGAGCGCTGGTTCATGTCCCAGCTACTCCACTTCCCATCTACCTCCCTGCTTGTGGCCTGGGAAAGCAGTAGAAGATGGCCCAAAGCCTTAGGACCCTGTACCTGCGTGGGGACCTGGAAGAACCTCCTGGCTCCTGGCTTTGAATCAGTTTAGCTCCAGCCATTGCAGCCACTTGGGGAGTAATCCAGTAGATAGAAGATCTTTCTCTGTCTCTCTTCTCTGTAAATCTACAGATTTCCTTTCCTCATAGAAAGTTGGGAGAACAGGTGAGAAAATATTATGAACATTCAGTTGGTATTTAATAATGCCGTTGAATACATTAACTTTGAAACACCATACACAGATTGGCAGTTATATTTTAAAATACCCTGCTGGCACTTTATACTGCTGATAGCTCGGAATTGGGGAATACCATGTAAGTTCTCATCACCAAATGAAACTTAGACAAACATCTCTTTTCTAATTTCATATGCTGCAATGTGCCAGTGACTAACTAGTGCCTGACACAGAGTGGATACTTACGTACTTGTTGAATGTTCCGGTAGTGAGTTCTAGAGGAGCAAGATAACCACTGCTAAGACCAGGCTGGTGTGCCCACTGGCTGTAACACCCAGTCCCTCTGCCACCACTGCCCTTCAGGACTTCTGTTCCTCTTCTGTTCCTTAGGGCTGCTTTACTCCCACTTCATGTACATGATGCTTGGCTCAATGCCTTGTGGATATAAATGGAGCAGAGAAGGTTTGTTAGGAAGGGAAAGTACAACCATGTTTCCTGGGAGTGACCTGAAGTGACTATTATGGGAATGATCTAAAAGTGACTATTATCCAGCTTCAGGAATTCCTTTTAACCTCGTTGCTTCTATATTTGATGGGAAAAGGATCAGAGAATTTTTGGCTCTGAAAACCAGGTGCATAGCTTGACTCACCCAGTTACCTTGGTCACAGTCCCTTTGACTCACTCCTGCTTTTTCCGGCCTGGTTTCCTTCACTGCCCTAGTGTTTCTCACTTTGGATCCAGGGAGTAATCACTAGTCCCGTTCCATCACAGGCACAGAGTTGCTTCATAGAATAGATGCTGCCCTGGCTGAACACAGGGGCTGGGAGGGAGTCCCTCATATGCTGCGGGCCTTACTTATGCCCCTTGACTCTACAGCCGGTGTCAAGGAACTCAAAGTAGGATTTGTGTTTACAGGTGACAAAGCTGGAGACATTAAGTGCCTTGCCAGGTGTTAGGCTGTTAGCAAGAAACAACTAAGATTCTGACTGATTTTTTTAAAGCTTACATCCTATTTGTCATTCTGCCTTTGCCAGTTATTTACAAAAAGCAGTTTTGCAGGCCAGTACTATGGTGCCGGTAAAGCTGCTGCCTGCAACGCCAGCATCCTGGTATGAGTCCCTGCTGCTCGACATCTGATGTAGCTCCCTGCTAATGTGCCTGGGAAAGTAGCAGAATATAGCCCAAGTGCTTGGGCCCCCGCAGTCCCTCGGGAGACCAGGAGAAACTACTGGCTCTTGGCTGTGGCCTGGCCCAGCCCTGGCTGTTATGGTCATTTGGGGAGTGAACCAGAGGATAGAAGATAGCTCACTTGCTTGCTGTCTGTCTCTCTATGTGTGTCTCTTTCTCTCTCTATCTCTCTCTGAAAATAATAAAATAATAAATCTTTATTATTTTTAAGCAATTTTGGTAGCAATTCAGCTGTCAACGTGTGAACGCTCTAGGAACAAGTGTAGCTAGCTGTATGTCTTTGTGAATAACATTCATTCCTCTCCTGGACAGGAGGCAGAACAAGCCATCCAATGTCTCAATGGCAAGCTGGCTCTGTCGAAGAAGCTGGTAGTGCGATGGGCACACGCACAAGTAAAGGTAAGTCTCAAGCTGCCAAGACGCAGTCCGGTCCCAGCCCGAGCGAGTCGAGATGCTTGTCTACTGCTCACTGCCGCCCAGGCTCTTAACATCTGGAACAGCCATGTGTGTTACCAGATTCTTTGGAGAAACTTCTCAGGAGGGATTAAGTTCCTTCATTTTTTTTTTTTCTCCACATGCCCACAGATCCTGCTTTTGATTGATTTTCCATGTGGCTGATGTGTATACCCAGACTGCTGTCTGTTGGGGGAGGGGTGGTTCTTGGGGGGGGGATGTATTTATTTCTAAATTAGTTGCTTGTGGAGGGTTTGAATTTGTTTACTCTAAATGCTTAAGAAATGAGTAGTTTGTGAATTTAAAAGACTGACATATCCTTACCCCAGTGGTCACGTGAGTTATTAGGGTGAAGGTTTGTAGGACCTTATAGTGTCTGCATTATCTTGAACCCTGAGAAATGACAAATTACCCTATTCATCCTGTACTTGGTCACTTGGGAGAATGCACTTAGAAAAACTGAAACCATTAAAAGGGGGGAGGGGAATGGCATTCTGTTCCAGTTGGCACAGAGGTGGTGAAGTATGTGGACTGGAGCAATTCCAAGAGCTGATTCTCCTGCTCTACTGGAAACGTAATAGATCTGCATGGAGGGAAAACAAAAAAAGATTTGGGACAGTTGGAACTTCAGCCTTAGTGACTGTGGTTTTGATCAAGAATGCTCTACTCCCTCCCCCTCCACCAACAGGCTTGCCAAAAAAGTCAGCAAGGGGCTAGTGTTGTGACAGTGTGTAAAGCCATCACTTGCAACGCCAGCATCCACTTGGGCACCACTCTGAGACTTGGTTGCTCCACTTGTGATGCAACTCCCTGCTAATGCGCCTGCGAAGGCAGTGGAGGGTAGTCCAGATGCTTGGGCTCCTGCACCCATGTGGAAGACCTGGCTGAAGCTCCGGGCTCCTGGCTTTGGTCTGGCCTAACCCCCGCCATTTTGACCATTTGGACTGTTTGGAAAGGAGCCAGCAGGTGGAGATATCTCTCTGTGTGTATGTCTCTCTCTCTAATAACTGCCTTTTAACTACTTAAATATACAAATATCTAGAGAATCAATGAAACTAAAAAGACATTTGCACATAGGTCCAACCTAAAAAACAAAGATCAGTTTGATTCTTTGTGTTTCAGGTGATCACAGAGCCTTCTCCGTTTCCAGGACATGTTGCCATAAAATTAAAAACAATAAGGAGAATGACCAAATGCTTTTTTGTACTCAAGAGAAGATCTAGTCTCATCTGCTGGATTGGTTGTCATTTTCTCATTCTGCATGTCATTGAAAATGCACATGGAGAAATCATCCTTCATGCCTGTCTTTTATTTTAAAATGTCTAATGCCTTGTGATTCTCTCCTATAAAACTTCTTGACCAGAGGTTCCTGATCGCTCTGTAATATTATATTTTCTTTGTGCAAGAAGCAGGTAACTTTCTAGCTTCAAGTTAAACCAGTCCTTTACTGTAGAATGTTTTCCGTATCAGCAGTAACAAACTGTTACTACCTGTCTTCACTCAGGCCTCTTAAGAGTTGAATATTATGCCGTAATTTGCAAAATCTAGCAGAATTTTTAAGTGTTTTGAATCAAAATAAATTACTTAAGAGGCAGTATGCTCAAATCAGGATATTTGAGGGAAGCCCTGCTGTGTGTACGTGTGTACTATCTCTGAATTCGAAAGTTGAAAGAAATTTTTCTCTTACCAAGTAAGATGAACTGATGGTTAGATGGACACTTCTTCTGGACTTCTAAACTTCACAGCTTTTGGCCAAAATGGGAATTTTTGCCTTAATTCTAGGTGTAAAGCAGCCCTGAAGCTTTTTGGAAGTGGGTAGGTGATAGGCACAACAGTAAAGGGCCAGTTTCTATGCTGCAGTAATTTCCGTCTTTCTGCCTTTCAGAGATACGATCATAACAAGAATGATAAGATCCTTCCGATTAGCCTGGAGCCATCCTCCAGCACAGAGCCCGCTCAGTCTAACCTAAGGTAAGACGGTGCACTGTCAGGCACAATGTGCAGGAGCTTACACCGGCTCTGCCTTCCACACCTTCATTCCTACTGTGACCCATTTCCAGACACTGGTAGAACAGAACCTACTAAACTGACTTATTGAAAGATGTTGAGTTAACCTCCAGAATATATACATTCCCTCTGCTTCTAGCCCCCCAGGATGATGCACACCCACTTACAGAATTCATTCATTCAAGAAAGCATGGACTCAAGTGCCACACACTGAGCCTTATGCAACTGGGGTTACAGAGATAAATCAGACACAGTCATTTCCCTAAAAAGGCCTTGGGTCCCTGTGGCATTACATACATTAATTCCTCCCCAGTCGTGAGTTCCTTTCTACAAAACTGTGGTTTGCAGACATTTAATTCTATGCACCCTTGTAGGAACTATAATAGTTTGGTTCTAGTGTCTATGAATTGTCAGTTATTTCTTTGGAGTTAATTCAAAACAGAACTAAGGGTTGGGTAGAAAAGGGGGAAGTTAAGTTGACGATTGAGTAAAAGTTCATTTATTTATTTATTTTTACTTTGTAGCCTCCAGAGAAACTTGAGCAATAACAGTAACAATACTGAAGATTTATTGAGCTTACTATGGAGCAAGCACTTTGCTGAACACTTTACATACAGCATGTCATTTCATTATCCTTGAAAATCATTTTACATATGAGGAACTGCATCTTAGAGAAGTGAAATCACTTGGCTGAGATCATGCAGGGAGAAAATCGCAGAGTCAGAATTCAAAGCCAGATTTGTTTGGACTTCAAAATTCAGCCTTTGTTACCTCGTGAAAGAAGCTGTAGGCTATAGCTACAGAGCTGCCACTCTGACGCCCGTTCCAGGGAGGGGGAGAAGGATAGTGGAGGAGCATCAGTGATGAGGAAGATCTCCAGTCGCCATCAGGTCGGGGGGTGATGCCTGTCTGGGCAGAAGGCCAGATGAGGAAGAAATCTATGCCAAATAAGATAGGCTCCTCAGCATCTCGTTAAACTGTGGCAGAGAGATAGTGTTGAAAACAAGTGATAAATTAAAACTAATGTGTGTGTAAGCTTCATGTCCTGGGAATTCTGTCTTCTGCTCACAGACTGGTGTGCATGGAGGTTTCTAAGTCTGCCTCCTGACGGCAAGGGGTGGCTGCGTTTCTCTTTGTGGCCCTCAGATTACAATGAACATGTGTGCCGTTTCTTAGGATCAGTGCCTGCCAATTGTTTACGAGATAGCTTAGTGTTTTCCATCTATTTTTTTTTTTTAATTCAGAGAATGTCAGCTTATGTCTTCTTATTAGCTTCTATTGTTTTAATTAGAGACAGTTGTTTCCCAGTGACTTATACAGAATACATGACTGGCTGCTCCATCAATGAAAAAGACCCAAGAATCCACCTCACTAATACCTCCGTATTGTTTTTATTGTAACTTGATTTTTTTTTTTTTTCATTTCTTGCCCGTGTGAAATCAGGGGTATGTGCAGCAGATGCATACCTTCTGAGGATCTCTAAAAAAGACGTGTATAACCTCCTTCCAAGCTTCTCTCACTGATTGTAGACCATCAACAGCATCAAGAACGGAAAATAAAGGGGTCCCTGAGCCAGAAAAGACCCACTGGCTGAGCACTGTGCATTCTGGTCTAGAGAAAGCAGTGGCCTTCAGCAGCAGCAAATCCTTTACAGCTTGGGCTGCTTCTTCCCCCCTTGCTGTGTGAGGCCGGGCCGGCCTACCCCCAGCCTGATGGAGAGCAGGAAGTAGGGGCTTTGCAACAAACAGCTGAAGCTCTGCTCTGCTCTGCTCTGCTCTGCTCTGCTCTGCTCTGCTCTGCAGTTTGTTACCCACGTGAAGTTGGGTGTGTTACTACCTCTCTACATTTGTATTTCTACCTGTGAAACGAGGATGCTAGAATTAGAAACAGCATAAGTGAAACGCTAAGCAGTGGCCAGTTTGTTCTAATTGCACACATGTGTCAGTAAAAAGAAACTGTAGGATTCCCAGCATGTTTTTTGTGCATTATTCAGTGATTCCAAAGATGTCCTGATGTGGTGAACAGCACAGGCCAGAGGGGCGGTTGGCATTCAGTTCTCAGCCCTGACGGTTGCTAACTGTTTCACGTTGGGTACGTCCATCCTTCATCTGCCAAGCAAGGGCTATAGCCTACCTACTAATGTTATTTTCAGTTGTCCAAGAATTCATTTTAAGTACTTGCTTTCTGCTAAGCACTAAGATGTTGAAGGATATCTCTCAAGATTAAATGTAATGATGCAGGAAGTAGTCGTAGCAATGTCTGGGCAAACATTAAAAACTCTTTGTAAGATTTTTACTTCTTTATTTGAAAGAATTACAGAAAGGGATCATTCATCTGCTGTTTTACTCCCAGAGAGCCGTAACAGGCAGGGTTGAGCCAAGCCAGAGACAGGAGCGCCTGTGTGGGTAGCACGATTCCAAACATCTGAGCTCTCCTCCACTGCCTTTCCCAGGCTCTGGAGCAGATAGCTGAATTGAAAGTGAAGAGCCCAGACACAAACAGGTCCCATATGGGAGGCTGGTGTGGCAGACAGTGCCTTTGCCCACTATGCCACTTTGCCAACCCAAACATTAAAAACTTAAATAAATAGTTCAGGGCCGTCACCGTGGCCTAGCAGCTAAAGTCCTTGCCTTGAATGTGCCAGGATCCCATTTGGGTACCAGTTGTATTCCCGGCAGCACCACTTCCCGTTCAGCTCCCTGCTTGTGGCCTGAGAAAGCAACCGAGGACAGCCCAAAGCCTTGGAACCCTGCACCTGTGTGGGAGACCCAGAAGAGCTCCTGTGTCCTGGCTTTGGATCGGCGCAGCACCGGCCATTGCAGTCACTTGAGGAGTGAATCATCAGATGGAAGATATTTCTCTCTGTCCTCCTCTCAATATATATCTGACTTTGCAATAAAAATAAATAAATCTTTAAAAAAAAAACTTAATAAGTGGCTCAGACTTGAATCTCTTTGTTGAAATGAGAGCTTTGGTTAAATCTGTTTATTTAATTTTCATCTTTTGAATGTTTGTAATGTATTATTATTGCCATTCTGATATGGGTGAGAGGAAGGAGATGAAATGTACAAATGTTTTCTGAGCACACCTTGACCCACTCTGACCCTCTGCTCCCCTTTCACAGTGTCACTGCGAAGATCAAAGCCATTGAAGCAAAGCTGAAAATGATGGCAGAAAATCCTGATGCAGAGTACCCAGCAGCGCCTGTTTATTCCTACTTTAAACCACCAGATAAAAAAAGGACTACTCCTTATTCCAGAACAGCTTGGAAATCTCGAAGATGATGGTTGTGAATTACTATAGCAGCAAAAGCATATTGGCCTCCACCTATAAAGTCCTCTGCCTCTGTACCTTGTAGATGTGATTGGTACCATTTGACAGAGCAGTCATCTCTTAGTTTGGTAACATAGCATTTTTGGATGTTCTTATGAATGTGTCGTCCCTGAAGTATGTGTGGAATTGAGCATCATCCAGAATAAATAGGATTGTCTCCAAAACTTGTGATTTGAAACACTGGGATGCTCTAGTTGGCTGATCTGTTTGGATTTGTAACTCCAGAAACTTTACATAGTGTGCCAGAGAGAAAAAGGCAAACATGAAAAATGTTGTTATTCAAATCAGGAAACCAAATTTATTAACATCCCTCAAAAAAAAAAAAGGACTTGGAGCATTTTTCTCATGTCTTTACAACGTAAAGAAAAAGAAGTGGGATGGGAAGTGATGAATTTTAAATCATGTTCTGAACTCTTTTGCAGAATTTACTATGAAAATTCCTCCAGTTGGACTGGAGAAAGTTCTTGGCAAAAGAGAGCTGGTTCTTTGAGCAAACATTGTAGTGATCTGTTTAGAATCATGCCTGTTGTTTCAAAATCCCAATTAGGAAAACATGGTGTGTGTCTTAAAAAAAACTGTTTGCATCGACAAAACTGTAGAATCAAATTTAGCATTTTATACCACAGTGGAAATTCTGTTTAGAAATCCAACTTCTGTAGTGATCATTTTTAAAAAATATATAAATAACCCTGCCTTCTATGATACCAAATGTTATTAATATGGGACTTTTGAAAAATATACTTCACTGCATGAGATAAAATGTTTTTATAGCATGAGACTGTTCAATTTGAAATTTACCATGATCAATCTAAATAGGAAAGCAAAATTTCTTGGAAAATCTCAACATTGCTTAAAGCCACCATCAAATATAAATATAGACTCTTTTCTAATAAAGGAGTGTGACTGGTCCTGTGTAGGATGAGGAAGGGACATGCAGTGAGTCTAGACAGGCCATGGAGCAGGCCCTGCTCTGGTGATGAAGAGGGTTGCTTGTTGGATAGGACAGCCTGTGTCCTCAGTATTTTTGTTCCTTTGAACATCCTCCACTCGGCAGAGTAGTGAGGGAAACCAGCCAACAGATTTGGGTGATTTCTTGGACTCGGTTGTGATCTTCCTGGTGCCCGGTTTGGCAGACTTTGATTTAGACAACACCACTGCTCTCTTAGCAGGAGAACCGTCTGTTACTCTGGGTGCCACTCATGGTGATCACAGACTTGACCACCCCTTACTACCAAACAAGAAGAAAGGGTGGCTCTAGGAACTTGAGCCTTGTGGGGTTTCAGAACTCACAGAAGTGGTTCAGAGAAATTTGTAACGCTTTTCCCAAGGCTAATCTTTTTAGATATCTTTAGATATAAGATACTTTCTGCATTTATGAATTGTGTTTATTTTTGATGCAAGTATCTCCTTCCTTTTGGAGGATAGTTCAGGAAGGTGGAGAAACTAGCCTTCATCTTTCTGATTGACTCCTTGGAGTATGGAATTCTCCATTTTATCCTAACTCCTCAAAAGGTCGTAGCGGAATAGAACTCAATGCAAAATAGTCTTCTATTTTTTAATAGGAGCTTAGGAAATATTAGGCTTAGAATTACATAGACTTTTTCCTTTAGAAAGAAGAGGTATTTATTTGTATTTAAAGTAATGTTTATTATTTGTACTATTTCTTATTCCTTGGTGTGAATAAATGCAAGACAGCAACTGTGTGGTTCTCTCTTCTCTTGTCCCTTTCCCAGAAGGGACTAGTCTACTTCCAAATAGAGGTTTCAAAAGAATATATGTATCCCACAGAGGTGCCAGGAGTCTTTTGAAAGATTTGTAAGACACAAGTGGTAATTTGGTCAACTTTGATAGATTGTACACTAAGTAAAATTCTTTCATGGTTACACTGGTGTGCTAATATTTCGCAATTTATACGAGTATAGATATGAAATATTTAGAAGAGAGGTATGGTATCACTCCAATTTTAGTATATGCGCTGCTGAAGCAAGCTCATAAAAGAGGTATGAACTGTCAATGCTGGCTGTTTCTTCAAATGCAACATGCGTCCCTCACCAGTAGATGTCCTGGTCCTGGAACTGGCATCTCAGTATCTGGGAAGAGGATCACAGGAAAGGTTCTACAGAGCTTGTCAAAATTCAGCAGCCCAAGAATTTTTCAGCCTTGTCTGTGTCTAGGCAGGTACGCACAGTTAATTTCCAAATAAATGTGTTGAGGTTTTTGTTGTTTTTTAAGATTTTCCTTATTTGAAACAGGACTTCCATCCCCAAATGCTTGGAACAGCTGGAATTGGGCCAGGCTGAAGTCAAGAGCTTCATCTAAGGGCAAGGGCCCAAGCACTTGGGCCATCCTTTGCTGGTTTCCCAGGTGCATTATGGCAAGGAGGTAGATTGGAAATGGAGCCGCTGGGATTTGAATTAGCATCCATATGGGATGCCTGCATTGTAGGCTGTACCTAACCCACTGTGTCACAACACCGGCCCCTGCAAAGTGATCTTTTTAAAATTCTTTTAAATGTTTCTCTCAGTGGCTTTGCATTACACCTGTAATAAAATCCAGAGATTTAAAAGGTTCTAAATCGCTTGTTAGGCCTGTAGCCCGCCATTTTCCCTTCACTTACTGTGCCCCAGCTACCCTGGCTGCCCTGCTATCCCTCAAGGCCTACAAGTTGGCTACTCCCTCTGACCGGAACAATCTTTTCCCCTAAAGAACTCACTGATTTTTAAGATTTATTTAAAAATGAACAACAAAGCTCCCATCTTCCAGTTCACTTCCCAAATGCCTGTAATAGCAAGGCCTAGGCCAGGCTGAAGCCAAGAGCTCCAGATAAGTCTGCCAGTTGGGTGCCAGGGGCCCAAGTACTGGGGCCGTCCTCCACTGCCTCCCAGGCAACATGAGGAGGACGCTGGGTTGGGAAACAGAGTAGCCAGGACTCAAACTAAACTACAACTGCAGTACGGGATGCAGGCGTCCCAAGGTGGCTTAATGTGCTCACTTCCTCCTTGTTTGATGTCTCTGCTTAAATGTTCAGTGACCAGGAGACCTTCCATGGCCTCCCTTTTGAAATCACAGCCCTCTCCAGTCATGTGCTTTTCTTCCTTTTGTAAATGGCACCACCACTCAGCACTATATATATAAATTCATCTCTTCTTTAGAGTAAGTTCCATTTAAGAAGGAACTCGCTGTCCTATCCCCAACACTTGAAACTGTCTAGTATGGAATATGTACTCACTATTTGCTAAACATCAGAGTCTCGGTACCAGAGTGAAAGAACTTGAGATGCCATTAAAAACAAAAAAAAAAAAAACAAAAACAAAAACAAAACACTTCCTCATGGTCCAGAGGAAAGAAATGGAAACCAAGAGAGACAAAGTGGCTTGGTCAGAATAATGTAGTCGAGAACTGCAGGTTGAACCCAGGCCTGCTACCATCTAATCCCATGTATGTTCCTTAGCACACCACCCTGTGCCACCGCTTTCTATATCAGCCACAGGCGCATACAGCATAACCTTTCCACATTTAGGTGGTTGCAGGGAGGTGGGATGGGTGGAGAAGCCAACGGAAAAATACATGCTACCTTGCAGAGCCGGTGCAGTAAGTTAAGCTGCTGCCTGCTTCACCAGTATCCCCTATGAGTGTCCATTCGAGTCATGGCTGCTCAACCCCTGACACGGCTCTCTGCTAGCGTACCTTGGAAAGCAGCAGAAGTTGCTTGAGTGCTTGGACCTCTGCCACCTGTGTGGGAAATACTGATGGAGTTTAGGGTTCTTGGTCAACCTGTTTAGGCCCTGGCGTTTGAGGAATGAGCCAGTGAATAGATCTCTTTTTTTGTTTGTCTCTTTCTCTCTCTCAGTCACTGCTATTACATAACATAAAATGGTCTGAAATCCAAGTTCTAGTGTCTGGTGAATATTACCATAATTCAGCCTCCTACATTTACCTATCTGTGGCTGTTTTCTCACCATAATAACAAAGCTGACTAGTTGCCCACAGAATTGTATGGTCCACAAAGGTTAAAATACCCAGCTGACTGCTGCTCTAAATGATACTCCATTACTGGACGTGTCCTTTGAAGCCTGTGTGGTATGAGAAATCCCAGTGTTTCTGCTTTCTGCAGAGAATGGAAACGGCAGAGGTGACTGAGGTGTGCTGAGTTGTTCTAGCCCCCTAAACGGTTTTGGGAACAGAACTGGCCATCTCGGGCCTTGTAGCATCCTTGTGCATGCTGGAAGATGGAGTGAATGTGGGCTACAATCTTTCTGTTCCTCAGAGGTTTGGCATTGGGAGTGCCAGAGCTGAGACTTCCAGCCTCAGCTAAGAGAGCAAGTTATTTTAGACACTTCAGTTCATATGAAAAAAAAAAAAAAACCCTACCCCAATTACCTGGGTGGAAAGTTAATTTACTCTTGTAGCTGGCAAGTCCAGGTATCCAAATGATGCGGTTCGGAAGGCTCAGTTGTGTCTTCCTCTATGCTGGTGTCCTTCTCAGTTTCTCCCGAGCGCTCTCTGCAGAGAGGCCCAGGTTTACAAGCAAACAGGTCTGCCAGAATTCACCCCAGGACCTTGGTCTCTATTATCTTTCCTCCACATTCAGTCACTTGGCTTGGATGACTGTGCAGAATGGCATCTTGTTTGAGATGTGTCCTGTGACCTTCCAAAGCTAAACCTGGAATTAAAATTTTAATTCTTAAAATAAAAAACAGAAATGAAGCTTCCCTCCCCTAGAAAATAGACCTCCCATTTGAGAAACTGTCTGGATCGAGGAGGGGGCAGTGGGAGGAGGTGACCTCATAGGAAAGGCAAGCTTCTCCTCAGCCGTGGACCAGCTGGGTGCGGAGGGGCAAAGAGGAAATGGTCAGGTCCCTGTGCACTGTATGTGCCCTGGGACAGGTTCTGGAGGGATGGCTGTGGGCCCCTAACCAAGCTGAGGGTGGGTGTGTGGGCATGGACTATTTCCCGGAGGGAGCAGCACCTGTGAGCAACGCCAAAGGCAGCAGACACAGGCAGGAGAAAGTTTAGGCAGAGTTTGAGGGAAGAAGAGCAAGTGAGGGTGCTTGAGGTTCAATCAGACGAGGGAAAACACCTCCCAGCACCTGAGCCTGTGGGCTGGTCCAGGTTTATGAGACCCCATGCGATCCGCCACCATAGGCATTCCCCTACACAGGCCAAACTCCTTGCTCCCCACACGGCAGCATCTCCCAGATCCTTTTTTTTTTTTTTTTCACCTGAAAAGACCCCTTTTCCTGCCTCCACCTCTCTCAAGGCAGTTCACTGCCTTTCTGCAGCTTAAATGCCTGGGTCTCCTTAAGCAGATAGCTCTGCCTCTCCCGTGCTTTGTCGTTGAAGAACTTACGCTCTGAAATTAAGGTAGCTCCAAGGGTTTGTTACCTCCCAAAAAGCAACAAGTCAGCTCTTTTCCCAGGCAGGGTGCATCCTGACTGCCATACGTCACCAAGGCCCAGGGCTGCTTCCCCTGCCCTCCCTACCTGCTGTCTCAAATTCTCTTCCTCACTCCAGTCTCTCTCCTACGCTACACACCCTTGTACCCAGCTCACTCCTGGGCACCTCCACCTGCTACACGAAACCCAAACTGAGTTCATTGACCTTCTGACCCCTTCCAAAGACTTTGTGTGTTCTATGTCTTTCAGAATGGCCTAGTGAAGAAAGAGCAAAAAGTTAGTTTGAGAGTTTGAGAGTTTCCTTTTCTCTACTGCCCACATCCAGACTCCTAAACAATGAACTTGGTATATTGAACTTAGAGATGATAATAACCCTGTATGCTGTTACATAGGATCACATGCTTGCATATATTTAAACAGTTTATATGTCACATATAACACATGACTTTGATTTGTAAATTTATTAGACTGGATATATTAATATAATCACATATAACAATAAAGTGACATAAAGTAATGGACTTTTTATCCTATCCCATCTTCCCCTCCTGCTTGTTCCCACAGCAACCCCATTACCTGTCTTGGGGAGGGCTCTGGTCCTTCGAATCTACCCTCAAGCCGAATACTTAAATCGTCTTTGCAAACCCCTCATTTGACCAAGTCCTCTTCATGCTTCAGTGATCTGAATGGCCCCCCCCACAAGTTCTGTTTTGAAATTGCAGTATCACATTCCACAGGGCCTGTCCTGGTCTGTTTTCAAGCCGCTATCTACCCTCCACTGGAAAAGCGGACACCGAATAGTGTCATTGTCAGCAGATAGTGCTCTAGGGAGGGCACATGTCACCCCCTGAGCTGCCCACTTGGCCAGCACCTGCTGAGTCCCCCCTGCATCTTCTCAGTGATGACAGCAGCTCTGGGAGACCAAACACACCCTTGACAGCAGGCCCATAGGCCATAACGTCATAACTGAAGATGCATCCTGGTGTCCTGGAAGTGCCTGTGAAAGGTTCTCTGGTAATGCCCATCATGTGGCTGAGCAAACTGATGCTTGTGGAAATTGTCACTTGCCTTAAGCCCCTCAAGGAGTATGGACAGTCAGGCTAACAGCTTGAGCTAGCTGAGTTGACAACTGCTGTGTTTTTTGAAAGTCAGATATACAGAGAGGTGGAAAGACAGAGAGAAAGATCTTCCATCCGATGATTCACTCCCCAAGCGGTGCAACGGCTGGAGCTGAGCAATTCCGAAGCCAGGAGCCAGGAACTTCTTCCAGGTCTCCCACACTGGTGCAGGTTCCCAAAGCTT